AGTCTGTCAAAACCCTAGGAATGTGAGTCTTATTATTGCAATGGAACATTTTCGAGATAAACAGTAGCTCACAAAAAGACAAGGGACATTTTTATTTTTTAAATCCCCAATTAGCTGTCTTAGTTTTATGTAATTGTAATTGCATGTTTACTTTCTCTGAAGCTAAAATAAATCTTTACTCTGTGAAACAAAATGAATGTAGGAGGCACATTTTAGCTTGTTTATAAACACTGCGTGTTCACACGTTAAAGACTATTTTACTAGTAGGTCATAATTTATTGTTACTTATGATCTGGTAATGTCTGTCCACACGTGATAATTTGAGTGTTTGTGAATCTGACATGCATGCTGATTAGCTGGTTCAAGCCCTTTCTTGGTTACACTCCAATATTTTTGAAAGCGTTAATATCACAAACACTGGTAGCAGTAAAAACAAAGGAGGAAGTAAACTCACTTCAAAGAAAGGCTTTTCCTTTTTAAAAGTATTCTAAACAAGGATATTGTGAGTCATGGTGCCAGAAACATAGAAACTCCTACATCTTGGGAGTTTGTTTTCCACATTCAACTAATAGAAGGATGCACAGACATATGCAAATATAAAAAGTCATTTTAGTTGATGAAATTTTTAATTATTTTACTGGAATTTAGTGGAAATTTAAAATTTGAAACAAGGCAAAACATTTTTTATAGGCTAGAGAAAAGTTCTAAATTTAAGATCTCTCTTTTTTTTTTTTTTTTTGAGACTGAGCTTTACTCTTGTAGCCCAGGCTGGGGCTAGAGTGCAGTGGCACAATCCCGGCTCACCACAATCCCCACCTCCTGGGTTCAAGTGATTCTCCTACCTCAGCCTCCCAAGTAGCTGGGATTATAGGCATGAGCCACTACGCCAGGCTAATTTTGTGTTTTTAGTAGAGATGAGGTTTCTCCATGTGGGTCAGGCTGGTCTCGAACTTCCAAACTCAGGTCATCCTCCTGCCTTGGCCTCCTAAAGTGCTAGGATTACAGGCATGAGTCGCTGCAACTGGCCAAGATCTCTTAACAAGGTCTGCCTTAGTAGGTTTTTGCAGAAATAAGCTAATCCTAGTGCATTCTCAGCAGTGCTTTTTCATTTAGTTCATTCATTCATTAACATTCGTTCATTAAAAAGTATTTATTGACCAGGATGGTCTCGATCTCTTGACCTCGTGATCCACCCGCCTCCCCGTCTCTACTAAAAATACAAAAAAAAATTAGCTGGGCATGGTGGTGCGTGCCTGTAATCCCAGCTACTCAGGAGGCTGAGGCAGGAGAATTGCCTGAACCCAGGAGGCGGAGGTTGCGGTGAGCCAAGATGGCGCCATTGCACTCCAGCCTGGGTAACATGAGTGAAACTCTGTCTCCCATGACGAGCATCACACAGGGCCCGCCACCTGTTGTATGTCTTGAGTTTGTAAATCAGCATGCGGAGTCCCAAAGTATGCAAAGTTAAATAAGACAAATTCCCTGCTTCCCAGCCTCCTGACTGAGCAAGGAAGATCTGAAATACTCAAGTGCAAGGTAGCAGAGAAGCTACTTTGGCATCCTCAAGAAGGGAGGGATGAGTGATCTGAATCATCTGAGAGCAGGTCGCAGGCCCTGTGTGATGCTCGTCTTGGGAGAGATAGATTAATTCAATCAACCTCTTCTCCATTTCATTCCCTCCAGCTCCTTTCTATTATATAGTTTCTTTTTCTCATTATGCTTTGACTTTTCTCATTTTTCTATCTTCTTTTTTAAATCCTCTTCTTCCCATTTACCTCTCTGAAGTCCGTATCTCACTCATTTCTAATCCAGTTTTTAAAACCTGTACTCTTTGGTGGTGGGTGTTTGTTTGATTTTTGCAAAGATGAATAGTGTGCGACCTCTGGTTGTGGGACCCCAACCCACGGAGGCAGGCACCCAGTAGACACGAGGCAGGACGCATGGTGACCGGTACCGACTTTATTGGGATCTCCGGGCGACTCAAGCGGGAAGGGAGGAATCGCGCGCACTTTCCTTGTTCGGTCGGTTTTATAGGGGCAGAGGGCCTGGGGCGGTGGGAGAGCAGTGGCGGCGGGTGATGATTGGTTAGTCCCGGTTGCCGGGCGGGGAGTTTGCCGAATGGGAAGTTGAGTGGGCAGGAGGTTGATAGGGCATATGGTGATTGGTCAGGATTTGGGCAGGAGGTTTGCTGGGCGGGAGCTAAAGAGGCAGGTGATGATTGGTTAGGTGGTTGCTAGGCGGAAGGGGCTGGAGTTCCTTCAGTCGGGGGCATTGTGCCGAGTCACGTAAGGAAGTTAAGCTCCTTCCATGTGGCTGGGGGGTGGGGCCAGAGAGGCCTTCTACCAGACAAATAGTTTTGCTAAAAATACTTCTAAACTGTTGTAAAGGCTGCCCACCCCTGGGGAGTAGGGGGGTGATCTTTCTGTGGGCTAATTAAGAGCAGAAGTGAAGAAAAGGAAAAGAAAAAAAGACATGGTGGGAAGAGTGGGAGGGAGGAGTGGCAAACACCACGTGATCCAAACACCTCCCTTTTCTTTCTCACAAGATCATCTTCTCTTTTTCTTTGCCTTTTTTCTGATGGAGGGAGGGGATAGACCTCACTGGGAACAGAATGGGAAGACCTACAGAGGTTGCATTAAGCAACATTCCCTGGGAGAACTGGGCTGAGCCAGAAAAAGAAAATCCTTCTGGATGTCACTTGCAGTGGCCCAGGGCTAATGTTAACTTTCCCTTCCAATTGACGGAACCCTTATTTTATGGGCAGTGCTAAGCTAAGGGTTCAGATGCATTTTTATTGTTGCTTGATCCTCACAGAAAGCGCAGGGTAGAGGAATCAGTATTTATATTTTGCATAAAAGGAAAGAGGCTCAGAGAGATGGAGCAGCTTGCTGGGGAGTCCTAATCTAGTTAGGATTCCAAACCCAGGTCTGTTGGGCTAGGAAACCCATGCTCTCATATTGTGCTAGCCTAACAGGATCCTCAAGGACCACCTATGGAGACCTTTCTTTTGTCCCCACGACCTCTGCTCAGAGATGTTCCCTGTTCCCAGTGAGTAGGTGCATTTCACAGACAGCAACACTAGCTCTGCTCCCTACCTGCCAGCTTCTTTTTATAGGTTTTACATGTGGGGGCTCTTTTAATCCAGGGGGCCCATAGGCAGCCCATCTTCCATAGAGGAGACGCTGAAGTATAGGGAGGTTAAATGCTTGTCCAGAGGGTAACTAGCTGGTCGATAGGAGTGCTAGGATCAGCAAAGTACTAAAAAGAAAAGGAACTGTGTAGTCTAGATGAGAGGCTTCCCTTTTGAGAGGCATGCTTATATGTGTGTGTATGTATATGTGTGTGTACATATAGATATATATAGATATAGATATATATAGATGTGTCTATGTGTATATATATTGTGTGTGTGTGTGTGTGTGTGTGTTTATGTGTGTGTGTGTGTGTGTGTGTGTATTTGGAGACAGGGTCTCACTGTGTCATCCAGACTGGAGTGCAGTGGTGTGATCATGGCTCACTGCAGCCTTGGCCTCCTGGGGTCAAGCCATCCTCCCACCTCAGCCTCCCAAGTAGCTGGGACTGCAAGCACTGCCACCATGCTCGACTAAGAGGCATACCTGTTTTAAAAGAGAAACTAGTGGTCCCAAAGCAGCAGTGTGCTGGTAGAAGTTTAACCAGCCCTTGTAGTCAGAACCCTGAGTTGTAGCCTCTATTCCCTTGCATGTGAATAGTGTCACGTTGGCCTATTTTATCCTAACAATGTTGTCCCTGAATGCTGAGCTGGGCAGAGGTGCTAACAATTAGCCCTCCAGCACCTAAGGGTCCACCTACCACCTAAGGCGTCTTTAGTTGATGGCATGTGAGGAGTCAAGTTTCCTGACCTACGAACCAGTCTCCAACTTAATATGGCTCAGACTCACATCACTTTTGAGTGATTAGTTCCTACTGCGGACACATTCTTTGTCACCACTAAAGGATTGTTGTTCGTCCAGACTTTCCCTTTTACTTCCCCACCATGTTCTGCTGTTTTCTGTTCCTTTGTCACTCCCTCCCTGACCACTACTTCCCTTCCCACTCCCTGCCACCTGCACCTGCTGACTCGCTCTAGTTAAGAGCCCTGGGGAAGGAACAGACTCTGCAGCCTGACTGCTGGGTTTAATCCCAGCTCTCCTCTGCTGGCTGTGTGACCTCAGGCAAATCACTTAATCTCTCTGTGCTTCAACTTTCTCATCTGTAAAGTGGGAATGAGAATTACGCTTCCCACATCATGTAAAGCCCTGGTATCGTGGCCTTGCAAACGTCAGCCCCTTGTGGCCTTCCTTACTTCTGGGCATCCTCAGCCATCTGAGCTTCCCAAATTACCCCTTCCCTGTGCCTGTCGCAATGCTACCATAAGAAAGCCAGGACCCCTGCCCTCTATAGCTGACCCTCGTCCTGTTTGGCTCCCCCGAGTAGCCATGAGGTCACCCCAGGTCCCCACTGTCCATAGCCACCCACACTCCCATATGCCTCACATGTCCACTCCCCTTAGTAGATGTGACAGGCTTTTTGCCTTCCTGAAAACAAGAACATGAAGGACACTGGCCACTTCAGAGCCAAGAGCTGTTCCACCACATTGCTTCTCTTGCACCCCACTGTTTCGGATCAGGTTACTTTATCCTGCTCCTTTCCATGTGGCCCAAGGTGAACACCTTGGTTTATGCAAGGTGTGATGACAGGAAATTTGCTTTTCTTCTTTTAAAAACCTTATTACAGCTTGTACAATATATTTGGGCACTCCTTCTCAAAGGCTTTAAACTTTCACATGTCCTTGGCTCAATAGTGAATGTGGACTATGGGGGATTGGTCAGGGGCAGGCTGGAATTTGCCTCAGGAACTACCTTTCATATCAATTCCTTTTAGTCAATCTAATCACTCCCTTTTACCCAGACTGAGATCGATGGCTCATGTGGCTTTTTTTCTGTAATCCTTGGGTAATTTTTTTTTTTTTTCCCCGCTAGGAAAAGAATTGAGTTTCGTCAGTCCTTTCCCAGGATGGAACATGAACAGTTACGCCGGTTTCCTCACGGTGAATAAGACTTACAACAGCAATCTCTTCATCTGGTTCTTCCCGGCTCAGGTAGGCGCCCAACAGAAAGAACACCAGTGTTCAAGAGCTGGCTTGCCTCTTGAGGGTAGAAATGTTAGCCTAACAACTTACAGGTCTTAAAATAACTCATAGATTTTTTTTTTTTTTCTAAAAGTAAGCAAATCTGCGTGGTGTTCCTATTTAAAGGCAGAAAATAAATGTTTTCTGTGGGGGTGGGAAGTGTCCAACTTCTAAATTGCTTGCAGCCTTATTTGGAGTGTCAAAATTATCACCTTCTTCCCGTCACAGTCTTCTTCCTATCTTTCTGTTGTATTTTTGTTTTAAAAATACTTAGGGCAGCAATGGGTGGTGGGGAGCCCAAGGAGGATAAGTAGGGAGATTCCTGAAGTTAACAGGTAATGCTTGGCTGAGTGTGTTTATATCTGGTCAGCCATGGCCTTATATGGTGACCTTGTCTGTGGACTCCTTCATGCACTCAGTACCCACTTACTGAGCGTATTCTGGGCCGTGGGGTCACAGAGGAGACGGAACTGAGCTCAGACTCTATGGACGTTTAGAGGAGGAGTGGGAGGATTGCTGATCTAGGAAGGCTTCTGGCGGGAAAGGCCATCCCTTTTTCAAATCTCTATAGATGTAGCTGGGTATGTTCTACTTCACCAATCCTATGTAATTTACTTCTAGAGCATGTCATTCTTCTGTATGAACAAGACAATTTTAGCTTAGGGGTGTTGTTGTGGGATTCGTAGAAGTGCTGAGATGCATAAACAAATCTTACTCCACTGCAGAGTAATCTTCTGTTTTCATCTTCCAAATTGGATTTGTTTTAGAGGCAGGGAAAGCAAAGAAAAAGCTATCCCTATGGAGGGTGTTATTTACATTTGCATGTGATTTGCATATAGCTGGGTTGCATGTATAGTAACTGAGTAAATGGCTTAATCCAGGGTAGTTTTCAAGTTACATTGTTTCTCTTGGTACTATTGAGTTACATTTTCTTGACTTTACTGCTTTCCCAACTACATGGCCTCTGACATAGTTCACCCCAAAGCAGCTTGTGGTGGGGTGCATTCAAGTTGGGGCATGTAAGAAAGGGTGAAGAATTGTGCATCCTTTGTGGTTGGGCACACAGTAGCTGCCGTCTTCTCTGGAAGGCTTTCTTGGCCCCTAGCGAGGGCTTCTTATTTCTTCGTCAGTGTTTCTGTTGAGTGAGGCAAGCAAGGTGCCTAGAGAGTACCATGTAAGGGGACACACCCTCAGGGTCATACAAGGGCAAGATCAGCACTGGAGCCTGACCCCCTGCAGTCTCTTGTTGGTGCCTCCCATGAGTGAAGCCCAACTGGAAGCTGGGGGGAGTTGGGTGGTCTAGCCCATAGAGGTATGCCTCTCAGGGCACAGAGTGGGGTGTAGGAGGGTGGATAATGGACCTTCAGTCTCTTAAACGTTATGCCTTTGAGAAACATTCTGTGTGTGTGCATTTTTTAAATTACATCTATCGATGCCGTTGAATGCAGTCATTAATCTGCAGTAACCTCTTTGTTATTGTCTCTTGCTGCTATAACAAATTGCCACAAACTTAGTGTCTTAAAACAACACACATTTTATTTCATAATTATGTAGGTCTGACATGGTCTCCCTGGGCTGAAATGCAGGACCAGTAGCTCTGTGGTCCTTGTAGAGGCTCAAAGGGAGAATCTCTTTTCTTGCCTCTTGCAGTGTCTGGAGGCTGCTCACATTCCTTGGCTCATGGTCCCTTCCCCCAACTTCAAAGCCTGCAATGGCAGCCCCACTCCTCCTCACTTCACATAATCTCCGTGGTCATGTTGCCTTCTCTGACTCTTGTCTTTAGCCTCTGTCTTCTAAAAGGACTCTTGTGATGATGACATTTGACCCACCTGGATAGTCCAGGATAATCTCCCATTTTAAGGCCAGTTGATTTGCAACTTTAATTTTATCTGCAACCTGAATTCTCTTTTGCCCTATAACCTAACGTATTCTAGGGATTAAGACACAAACATCTTTAGGGAGTTACTATTCTGCACAAAATGGATACTTGAAAATTTGCCTAGATTACTGAGTCTCAGTATGTTCTCTCCCAGTGATTCTCACATGTTATTGTATACAAGAATCCTCTGACTTCCCCTGGGGATTCTGACTTGTAAATTGGCAGAGGCCAGCAGGTTGCAGAATTACCGGGTGAACCAGGCTCTGTGAAACCATCACTCCAGCCTACTGGCCATTACCCTCTGCCTGAAGCTCCTGGCTGGAAAGTGACCAACATGCCTTTTACCAGAAAGAAATGCCTAGAGCAGCCAAACCCAGACCGAGGCGGTGTGACTCCCATGTTAAGGGTCGAAATGCGGGGAGTCAAGAGACCAGCGCAGCCTGTGGAGCCTGGCTTCACTAATCCAGCTCGCAGATTCTCTAAGACCTGTTAGGACTACTTCCCCATCTTCCTTCCACTCTCCTACTCCCCCACATGAGCCAGAGAACCCCAATTCCTTATTTTCCCTTCTGCTTTCTTTTTTTTTTTTTTTTTTGAGACGGAGTTTCCCTCTTGTTACCCAGGCTGGAGTGCAATGGCGCGATCTCGGCTCACCGCAACCTCCGCCTCCTGGGTTCAGGCAATTCCCCTGCCTCAGCCTCCTGAGTAGCTGGGACTACAGGCATGCGCCACCATGCCCAGCTAATTTTTGTATTTTTAGTAGAGACGGGGTTTCATCATGTTGACCAGGATGGTCTCGATCTCTTGACCTCATGATCCACCCGCCTCGGCCTCCCAAAGTGCTGGGATTACAGGCTTGAGCCACCGCGCCCGGCCTCCCTTCTGCTTTCTTACTTGCTTATGACACCAGTCAATTCCTCATTGCCTTCTGAATGTTGAGTCTTTTTTGGTAATGATTTTAAAAAACAGGAACTAAGGCCGAGAGAAGAGTTCAGATGGAAACAAAGCAAAAACCCAGTTGTTCCCTTTCTCAGATTGCCTCTGGGCAGGTAAACAGCTCTGTCTAGAACGTAGGTGGTGTTTTGGCCTCGTATACCTGTTGAGGGAAAGAGGTTTAGTTTGCACACTCTGCTGGTTGCCAGACTGAGGACTGAAAACCCTCTTCATTAAACAATAACTGGACTGTTGGTTTTTGCTCCTTTCCCCTTAATTAAATGAACGCCTAGCTGTGCATCCCCTGACCAGGTTATGTTCTTTTGAGTCCAGTACTGTAGCCATAAACACATCATACGATGAACCCAGAAGACAACAGAAAAGAAGGTCTTTAAGTACATGGTGTTCTAGTGAAAGTGATCGATGAAGCTTTGGGAGAAGAGGGGCCGAGATGAAAAAACGGTACCCACAGATAGGTACCACCACGTGGCAGCCAAGATAGATTTGTCCAATACCTCTTCCCAGGAAGCTCACAGGGAGAGCCAGATATCGGAGGCTTCTGGCTATAAATTATGGAATCATACCAGTTTGGGTGAAGGAGATAAAGCCTGTGTGACAAGGAGAAGGAATAGTCACTGAAATGGGGGAGTCCTTTTCATTTGGCAGAGAGATTAGTTTATTGTCTGTCATAGGGAAGCAGCTGATGTTGTCACCAGGAGAGAAATGACCTCTTTAAAAAACTGAAGGTAGAGAAAATAAGAGGTGCAGGAAGGATGCCACACTTGTCCTACGCTCTGAGTATTTTTTGGGAGGATGCTGTTTTCAAATTAGTTTTGTTTTCCTGTTACTTTTATGAGATTGCCCTGTTATTGTATACATACACATCAGTGCAGAATGAATTCCAGAACTTGAAATTGGTGTGCAGTGGGAATTACAATCTCCTGGAGAAAAGAGTAGGCATTTTGCGTGGGATAAAAAGTGTAAGGAAACGAGCAGAAATGTAGCGGTTAGAATAGCTGCTGGTGATTGAATACTGACTGTGCTAGGCACTGCGCATTTTCTTATCCAGTCCTTACCTGAACCCCATGAGGAAGGAATTGTCATCCTCATTTTATAGATGAAGAGATTAAATCATCAGCTCCAAGTTACTCAACTAGAAGTTGGCGGAACTGGAATAGAAAATTAGGCCTCTGATGTGGAAATCCTTGATCTTGGCCTTCATGTGTTAGAGCCAGAGGAAGCGAGTCATGGAAGGCACTGGACTAAAAGTACTGTAGCTAAAAGTACAGGCTCTTGAGTAAGTCAGGCTTGGATAGAAATCTTGGCTTCAGTACTTACGCTAAAGGTGACCTTCGGCACATTTCTTAGTGTCTCTGAGCACTGCTTTCCTCATTTTAAAATGGGGATCGAATACCTACGTGGCAATGGTTTTGAGACAGAAGAGGTAATAGGGGAAAGCATTAGCATAGTACCTAAAACAGTAACTATAGTTTCTACTGTCATTATTTCATTATGAGTACCATTATTATGGTTATTATTACTTTTTAAACTATTAACACAAATGTTGAGAACAAAACCAGTCACAATTTGAGAGGTTAAAGGTGACAGCAAATAGAGGGAAATTATAAATTAGAAGGGCCTGAACCCCAGGCATCAATCAAGGTGAATTAATTGCTACCAGGTCAGGAAATTACTAACTGAAATTGGGATTTTTCCCCACATTAAAGAAGATAAAAAGGACATAGAGATTATTACTGTTTAAAGTCAGCATTCTTCTTATTGGAAAAAAAAATCTAGTATTGGACTTTCTGTTACAGAAGTAGAAACAGATAATTCATTGGATACATTTAGTCAAAACCTGCAGTTAAGTTACCTCAAATGTCATGGAGCCAAAACCTGGGGCATTTGTAGTCAGGCCTAGGTCCCTTTACAAAGGACCCCACCTTAATCTCAGGCCAAAAGGAAAGACCTAGATGCCTGTATTTGAGAATTTGTTGTCTGAAGATGTCAGAATCACATTGATGAGGCCCATAAGGTGCTGGGATGAGGAGGGCTCCCTTTCAGGCTCCTGCAGGCTGGGCCCTCCTGAATCAGACACAAGAATGATCAGATAGCACAATATACTCGAATCAGCAGTCAGTTGGAGAGGAAATGAACT